GGCATATATTGTGCATTTGGAGTTACGGGTAAACTGATATCAAAGGTAGGAAAAATAATATTTGAGTATCTATACCCAGTTAAAACATTGCTAACATGGAATAGAATGGCTTCTCAATCAATTTTTGTAGGCATAATCTCATTCAGGACTTCCTTTACATGCCAACCAGTATCACGGCATGACCCTTATCCTTATTTAGTCACTTGTATCCAATTTAAGTACTTTATATCAGTTGGTGAGAAATGCCCTAAATTAAGGAAAAGATCAATTCTTTGTTCAGAGCACATATTTACATCCATAGCTATTAGTAGTAGGAATCCAGTATTGGCTGTTTTTTAGAATGAGCCCTTTCACAAACTGAGGATCTACTAAAATACTGTAAAATTATTCCAGTACATTATTACCAAATTAATATTTACCTATAGATTGGTAAGAGAATACGGATTTCTATAAGTGGACAAATAGTCAACCTTAATAAAAATCAATCATCCTTGTGTGTACTAGTTTGTAGCAATGGTGAATCTGTGTTTGCACAAAAAACCATCAACAGCATGGCTACCACATTGCCATTATAAAGTTAAATAAGGGAAAGGAGAGAATGCAGTTAAGATTTAAGAGAAATGTATTAGGTGCTTATAATCTGCCAGATGCTGTTCCCAGTGATGTGGTGGTATATGTGTGTGTGTGTGTGTGTGTGTGTATTCAATCTTACTTAATCATTAAAATGACCACATGGCATAGATGCTACTATTATTCACATTTTACAAATAAGGGAATAAAGGCAAGTATATTTATATGTAAATATAATACATAGCCCTGTTACAAAGCCATCAAGCTATAGAAATACAACTCAAATAATGTTATCTGACTCTAGAACATGCTCTCTTTAACCACTACATTGTAGTGCCTCCCATAAAATGTAATCAACACTGAATCTACCCTCTCATAAAACAAAGCCCACCCAAGTTGGGGCTCTGACACATTTCTTTCTCTTAGGAAGACAGAAAGGGGTGCGATAAACAAAAAGGTCATTGATTCAGAGTTGCCTCCTTCTTTGTAATTCAGTTTCTAGTAAGAATAATAATGTGATAAATCTTTTTTTTTTACCCCATTCCATTCAACAGAATATGCCTTTGGTAGTGTCTTTCTAAGAGGAAGCATAGTTTGCTGAGTCATCTCTACCAGTTTCTGCATCATGAGACTTGGAAGACTATCTGACTACAAAACAGATTCACAGCAGCTTATCTTAGGAGACCTGACAAGGTCACAGCTTGAAATGGTACAACTGTATTATAACTAGAGATTAAGTGAAAATTTATTCAATTTAATCATTCAAGACTAGTTTGCCTTGTGTCTGTTATAAATAATTGGTATCATTACCATATATTAATTTAAAACAAGCTTTATTAACTATATTTCATTTTTTAGTGTCTTACATTTATACTTTTTGATAAAGATAATACAATAGTTATACATACAAATGTAAAGAAGATATCACAAAATATATTTTTAAAATTTTTTAGTTATGAATGGACACAATAATTTTATTTTGTTTACTTATTTTTATGTGGTGCTGAGGATCGAACCCAGTGCCTCATATATGTGAAGCAAGCCCTCTACCACAGAACACAACCCCAGCCCAATCACAAAATATCTTTAAACACCTAATGGAGACCCTGACTTTCAGTAGGCTATCTGGAGGTCTGGGAATATAGCTCAGTGGTAGAGCACTTTCCTAGCACGTGCATGCAAGCACCAAGAAAGACGGAAAGAAAGAAAGAGGCTATGCAAATATCTGAAAATTTCATTCACTGCTTCAACAATAAGTGTTTATGACTCTATATATTTGGAGTGCATTTTATTAAAAAAGGAAGCAATCAGATACAAATAAAAATTCAAAATTAAAAGTTGATATTAACATCTGTGCATCTCTGAGCATTACTTGCTTCGGTTCTGGAAGTTGTTTGTATGTCTTTCAGTAAAGCACTCATAGATTTTTGAAACTGTAAATGCAAATGAAAAGTATTTCAGATATAATATTCTAGATGAAATTAATATACCTCATTTATCAATACAAACAATCATCTGAACATTGAATTATACCTAAATGCATTATTATACCTAAACAGTGTATATTTATGTAGCAAAAGAGTAAGGTGACATGATACCAGGACTATAGATAGGTTATTTTTACCAAAGATTAAAAAATACACTAGATGTGAATATAGGTCTTATAAATATTAATTAAAAAGAACTTGTAAACAAAAGTTTCAGAATCATATTTTGTCTTAAAATATCATATGAAGCATGTACATAAGTTGCATTTACTATTCATTCATTTTGGAAATTGTAGCTTTCAATAGCACACAAAACATAACATCTGTAAAGTTTCCATGATAGGTGAGATTACATGGTTTTAAAGAATAATAAACAGAAATAAGTATTTGTCAAATAACATATGGTGGTAGTCATTTGCAAAAATGTTGAAGTCACACAGGGATTTATATCTTGACTTTATTATTTACTAGCTGTGTAATGGGAGAGTCATTAACCCTTTCTGAGCTTCAGTATCCTCATTTTACATTAACGCAATAAAAATAAAGCCTACCTTTTAAAGTTATTGTGAGGCTGAAAGTTAAAGCATTTAGCATTTGAAGTGTCTATTTAGTACAGCACTCCAGAGACCATGACACCTATAGGCTCTCTATAATAATAGCTGATGATGTAAGCATCATTTATGTTTACAAATAAAAGGGTGTGCATCTGGGTAGAGTACACACACAGATAGCCAAATAGGTAATAAACCCCAAATTTTCAGCCATTTTGTCTATTATCACATCAAAAACTATGCATGGGGTCTCATATAATATCAGTTTTTTTATGTTAGAATTTAAATACAGAAGGAAATCTTAGTTAAGTAAAGTTAAAGGAATTTCTGGTTAATCTCCATTAATAACATCTCTATTAAATCATCGGCAATTTTTTCCCTGCTAGGTTGCAACCTATTCACCATCTGCACACTCTTCTTGAAAAGGCATCACACCTGCGGAGGAATGTTGAGGGGGTGACACCCGAATAACAGCTGGATTAGCGTGATGTGACAGACCTGTGGATTTTGTACTTGGAGTCTGTGCACTTGAGGTTACTTGGCAAAAATGGTGATAGCTAGCGACAGGGGAAAGAGCAGCAACAAAATAGCTTTCATAATTAACTTTTATTAAAAAATATTTATTTATTTCCTTTTTTAGTTGTAGTTGGACACAATACCTTTATTTTATTTATTTATTTGTTTGTTTTTATGTGGTCTTGAGGATCGAACCCAGGGTCTTGCACGTCCTAGGGGAAAGCTCTACCACTAAGACACAACCCCTACCCTCATAATCATCTTTTATTGTTGATAAAAATTAATTCACTCCACAGCCCCACGCCCCACACCCATCACATTCATCCACGGCAAGCGTTTTTCTGGAGGGAGGATTAGGCTTATGTAAATTAGGTACCAGCCCACAGCCTTCCAGTGCTTTATACAAATCAAGGTAGCTGAATTCCTGCATCTGAATTCTTGGAGGGTGTCCAAATGTAGACCCCACTGTGCAAACCTGGTTTGCCCTGGTTTGGTCCTGCTATCAGATTGGCTTTACAGAACTTGCAGAACAGATATGGACCATCTGACTCCTAAAACTGCAGACCCCATGCTCTGAATATCTTCACCTCACCATTGTGCCCATATTTTTTCTCTGGAAGTTCTTAGTCACCATCTGTGACTGAGGATAGCTATTCCCTGTGAATATCTCAGGGAACTGCCCCAACGCCCCAGAGAGCCTTCCACAGAGGACGGAGCTCTCCCTGGACTTCTGGGACTACTTTGTGGGCTGAACTTATCCTGCTTGGAGAAGGAGGAAGGTATGTTTCTCTAGGACCTCTTCTCCCTCCAGCTCAGCTCTGAGGTTCAAAAACACCACAGAGGAATATCTTTCTCTTTACCCCTCCCACATTCCCGCCTACAGATCCACCCGCCCTCCGCATTGCAGCCTTCTAAGTTCTCAAGGATGCCTCGGACCAAAGGTTTCGTATCCCACCCTGGATGGAAATGCGGTCAATATTTGGAAGACACCCCTCAAGGATTCAGATGCAGGAGTTCAGCGACCTTGATTTGAGAAGAAGAAGAAAAAAATATTTGGTTGAAATTATAAGACACCACTAGCAGAAGTGCTGAGGAAGGAGGAAAAGCAGAACGGAACTAGCAGGAAAGGGATGTCCCTTCCACTTTCAAACACTCCCGTTCTTTACCAAGTGCAATCTGATCCAAGGGTCTCCTAAGATTACATCAGGGGCACATTTGTTTCTTCCCACAGATCACATTTAAGGCTTCTAGTTCGGTGCTTGATTGTATTTTAGGCTTCAGATTTATTCAAGTAGGAATTTTAAGGCTAGTTGGCTGCTATTATCAGGGTAGTGAAACTCCAGGTTTTGGACTGGGGCGTCCTGGAGCGCGGCCTCTAAGAATCTTCCCGCCTCCCCCGCTTCATTCCTTCTTCCTCCTCCGCCCCCTCCCCACCCCCACCCCGCTGGGCGAGCACTACCCCGCAACCCACGCCCTCCCGCCCCTCCCACTGCCTCCGCCTCTCAGACTTAGGCCCCCCGCAGAGTCCTTGCCCAAGCTGACTTCGCTGTCACCTCCCAGACGACCGCACTTCCCGCCCTCGCCTAGATCCGTGCCACCCTAGCAGCCGCTGTCGCCCGCGCACCGCTCCCTCCCTCCGCGCATTCCTTGCTGGGCTCCTGGCTGTCGCCTTCTTTGCTAACAACCCACCCCAGACTCGGTAGGCTCAGCGCCCAGCGGTCGCCCCAGCCTCTTGGCACTTGAGACCCTGCGCTCCAGCTTACGCGGAGACGCTGCCAGCCCCGCCGTTGCCGCCGCTGCAGCCAACACTGGTGCCACGCGCCGCCGCCTTTGCCGTGCCGCTGCCACAACCTCAGCTGTCTGCCCGCCAGCCACCATGGCCCCACAGCAAACAGGTAGCAGGAAGAGGAAAGCGTCCGCGCTTGAGGCTGGAGCGGGGAGCTCGTCGTCCCAGGGCTTAATGTCGGCGGGGCACGGAGAGGGGCCGCTGCTGCCCAAGAAGCAGAAGCGGCCAGCCACACTTCGATCGCTGGTGCACTACCTAAAGGGCCGCACGGTGGGCGCGTGGGGTCGCGCCTGGCTCCCGGGCTTCGAGGGCAAGCTACGTGACTACGCGGTGCAGAGGCTTCCCGAGCTGCTGACTGAGCGCCTGCTGGCCCTGGGAACCCTCAACAAGGTTTTCGCTTCTCAGTGGCTGAACGCCACGCAGGTGGTGTGTGGCACCAAGTGTAACACTCTCTTTGTGGTGGACGTGCAGTCGGGCCAAATCAATCGCATCCCCCTGATGCGGGACCGGATGCCTGCCCTGACTCGGGATCAGCCAACCTGCGGCATCCATGCCATTGAATTAAATCCCTCCAAGACACTTCTGGCCACCGGGGGCGAAAATCCCAACAGCCTGGCTGTCTACCAGCTGCCCACCTTGGACCCCGTTTGCCTGGGTGACCGCCATGGGCACAGGGATTGGATCTTTGCCATTGCCTGGATGAGTGACACCGTGGCCGTGAGTGGCTCCCGTGATGGCACCATGGCACTGTGGCGCGTGGACCCTGACAAGTTTATTGGCAGCAGTCCCTGGCACAACGATGCCTCTCTTCCCTTGTACACCCACATCCATCCAAAGGACATAGAGTCCATCCCCAGGGCCAGCAGCAACCCCAGTAACCGCAAAGTGCGAGCCCTGGCCTTCAGCGGCAAGAACCAGGAACTGGGAGCAGTGTCCCTGGATGGCTATTTCCACCTGTGGAAAGCACGAAGCCACCTATCCAGGCTGCTGTCTATCAGGCTACCCTACTGCCGAGAAAACGTGTGCCTGACCTACTGTGATGAATTGTCCCTGTACGCGGTGGGCTCCCAGTCTCACGTCTCCTTCCTGGATCCCCGCCATCGCCAGCAGAACATTCGGCCCTTGTGCTCCAGAGAGGGCGGCACAGGTGTGCGCTCCTTGAGCTTCTACCAGCACATAGTCACTGTGGGCACAGGCCATGGCTCCCTACTCTTCTATGACATCCGTGCCCAGAAGTTCCTGGAAGAGAGGGCCTCAGCCAGCCTGGACTCTTTTCTGGGACCCACAGGGAAGAAGCTCAAACTCACCTGTGGCAGAGGCTGGCTCAACCATGATGAACTCTGGGTGAATTACTTTGGTGGTGTGGAGGAGTTCCCCAATGCCCTCTACACTCACTGCTACAACTGGCCTGAGATGAAGCTTTTTGTAGCTGGGGGACCTCTCCCTTCAGGCCTCCATGGGCACTATGCAGGCCTCTGGAGTTAAGAATGGTCACCTTGTCCTGAAAATGGGCATATGTACATTTGAGCTCTATTTAACTTTCTTAATTTTGTATTTGTCCTTGTAACTCTACCCTTTGTCTTACAGGTGGACCTGACTTAACTTACCTGTGCTTTGTGCATTAGACAGAGAGAAAGAAAGAGCACAAAATTGGTGGTTTTGGCACTCAAAATTTGGCTTTAAGACTTTTCTGCACCTTGCCTAAAGCATTACTTTCTGCTTTCTCATACAAGGCTAAACTTTGTTTTCTTTTGTTGAGTGATTTACATATTTTTCTTTAGGCTAATGTAGTCGTTACTCTCAATACCATTTGGTACATTAGTTTTACCAGTATTTCCATAACATATTCAGACCTTTACACATTTCAGAAGTATAGTATTTGGGGAAAATGTGTGTTAAAAATATGTCTTTTGGCTGGGCTGAAGATATAGACTTACTCCAATTGGAAAATGCAGTTGAAGTTCTAGATTGCCACCACTGTGAGCATATTTTATTGGGATGTTGTTAACTCAGTATTTGTTGATTGTATTTCAGTGGTGCATAAAATGATTTTTAAAAATGTATTATCTTAGTTAAGGAATATTACAATACTGTTTGGTATTAGTCAAAAATTGTGATTATTCAGTAAAAGTTGAGCATCACCACTCCAAACCCTCAGACTTCATTAAAGCTGCTGTCTTTCTGTTTACCTTCCTGGGTGGCATTTATGCTATGGTTTTTGAGAGCTACTCAAAACTGGCTTATGTGTGGCAGAACAATCAGGTATTTTAAAAGATAAACATTTTGTAGTATTCAGTTAACACCATCAAGGTAGCCATTTACAGTGAAAGACCAGAAGATGTGCTCAGAGTAGATGTTGTTTACATTTTTGTGTTAAGTACATGGATAATTCTTTTGTCTGAATCAATTATGAGTATGTGATGTATTGCAAGAAAAAAACAAATAAAATGTGTTCAGCATCTTAGTAACTATGTGTGAGACTTAAATTTTTGAATGGTTAAATGTACACTTTTTAAATTTCCTACTAGGAATGTATTTACCAGAGTCAAAATTTTCCAAGAAAAAAGGTGAAGCTTGAACATCAGCTCTGCATACATTATTTTGTACATTTGGTTTTGAAAAAGAAACATGTTTATAAGTTAAAAGATTAAATAATATCTTGAATAATTAATACACTTGGTATAATTTAGGATGGCTAGGTGCATTTTTATTTACACTAATGTAGGTGTACTTTTAAGTACATATATATTATATTTATGTTTTACTTCCAATGTAAGTAGGAGGCATAAATGTATACCATTTTACATATGAAGCTGTTTCTAATGTTTTGAAGTACATCTATCAAGTCTTACAATTTTGGTTTTTACTTGTGTTTTTTAATATCAATTTAAAATGGTATATGCACATGACCAAAATATCATAATATATAAAAAATGCACAATAAAAATCAAGTGTCACAACTAAGGATCCCTAGTCTCTTGCCATAAGTCACCACCAGTATATTTTTGTGTGTAACTATTTAGACAAAGTCTATATATATATCTCTTAAGTATGTTTATATGTAATTTGCATACAAATTATAACATGAGCTGTACATAGCTATGCCTTTTTAATCACAAAATTTTAGAAATTGCTTCCTCCATGGATGTACCTAATGATTTATTTTATAGTATTCTGCTGTATGGTTGGAATATATTCACTATACCTTTGATTAGCAATATTATTGGTGTTTTTTGTTGCTATATTTTTCAGTGGTTACTTTAAAAGTACATCTGTATGCACTTGTGTTAAGTCTACCTGCAGGATAATTTTTTAGAAATGGAATTACTAGGTCAAGGAGTTAAGTTCATGTTATAGCTAACAGCCATTACCAAATTACACTCCAAAATTTTACTACCAATTTATCTTCACATAAATAATGTATACAGGCCTGAGTGACTACAACCTTGCCAACAATATGTCATTAAATTCTGTGTTGATTGCCAATCAAATACCAATCTGATTTGGATCCTTTCATTTAAACCACTGAGGCTAGATCATTAGATTTGTGATCTGAGTAATACATAGGTTCTGAAATAGAGATTAAGAAAATGAGGACATGAGGGCAAGTATTAAAAATATTGCTGGATCGAAGAAAGAGAGCACTTAGAGTTTAGGCTCAGATATATGGAGATGCATCACATAAGACTACTTTCTATTAGATACTTACCTGGACCTTGTTAAGGTTTCTTGGCCTGTTGCACTCTGGTTTCAGTCACATGAAATGCATCAGATGTCATTGAAGAAAATCTGACAACGAGATGAAAATCTGAACTGGATTTTTGGAGGTGCGTGTTCAGAGGAGGAAAGTTAATAGAAAAATGGGGGAAGTAAACAAATAGTATTTGGTGTTTCATATGAAGAGTAAAGAATAAGAAAGAATTTAAATGAAAATTCAGGTTCAGTCTCAAATATAAATAGTAACAATCAATAAATATAGAAAAAACAGGCACAGAAGACACTGGTGGAAGGTGATCATTTCAACTTGGAACATGTTGAATTTAAGCTGCCTATGTGACATTAGGAGAATATACTCAGTGAAGAATTTGCTGTATATCTTACTAAGAGGAAGGTAATTGGGGAGACTATTAGGGGAAAACAGAGCAGCTAGCAAGGATACTAAAAAGCATTGGGGACAAAAAGGTAGAGAAAGAAAATAAAACAGGTTTGTTATAATCAAATGTCAATATCTTAAAATCCCTGGGCGAAAAAATAACTCTTCAATCATACTTACAATGGTTTTGATTTTCTCCCCCCAAATTTTCCTTAAATGCTTGCATATGACCACTTAGGACTGCTCAAATTGGTACACTAATTAGACTTTCTCATTGCTCAGTTGTTCATATTTTCTTGGAGAAATGAAGAGTCAGACCTAGCTCAAAAAGAACTTCAGGGGTAATATTTCTGGACCACTTATCCTAATAGTCTGAGATGTTTTCTGTACTACCAATACCCTGCTGGAACCAGCATTCCTTGAAGCCATGCCAAAGCCCTGGCAGTTTCATAGAGGTGCAAAGTCACCTCATCACCTGGTGCTATTACCCTATATTTGAATTCCCACCTCAATGCCGCATATATAGGTCTCTGAAAAATTTCCCAAGTTGTGAAAGAACAAAGGAGGTATTAAGGGGAGGATGCTCCTTTCCTCAGCATTATAATTTTAATAAATGCAAATATAAATAATTAGAAATGAAAAAATGTAGTAATCTCAGTTTTATTTATTAGGAAGTTTAATGTAAAATCTGAATAGAAAAAATTAGAAAATAAAATTTCCCATGAAGATATAAACTGGATTGAACCATTGACCCTAGAAAATGTTGAAATTATGATTCTTTAATCTGTCTTTTCATCCTAGAATATTACGTAATATGCAGAAACATATAAAAAGACATGCAGGCTTGATTGTCTCAGGAGTACATTGTTTCACATTTTCAAGGACTATTTAATTCTGAACTGCTTTGTAGCATACAACAGAAAATGTTTACTCTTTTCTGTAGAAAACCAGCATAATATTATCCAAATTGGCTAAATTACACAAACTAAAAAGAGATCAATTTTTACATAGATAAGTAGATGTAACTTGCCCTTTAAAAAATATTGAATTTGGCTAGGCACAGTGGCACATGCCTGTAATTTCAGCAGCTGGGGAGATTGAGGTAGGAAGATCCTGAGTTTAAAGCCAGCCTCAGCAACTTGGTGAGGCCCTAAGAAAATCAGTGAGACCCTGACTCTAAATAGAATGTAACAAAGGGCTGGGAATGTGGCTCAGTGGTTAAGTGCTCCTGGATTCAATCTTGTTACCAAAAAAAGAAAAAAACACCGAATTTGATCAGTGCATTAAAAGGAACCTATACCATGGAAATGTTAAAGCTAGTCTCTTGAATATAAGGAGAATTAACTCTTGAGAAATCTTGCATTAAAATGTATTGTTTACAAGCCATATGAGAAGATCACATATTCATGAATAATCTGTGAGGAAGTAGAAAGTATGAATTGTAAGAGTATGTGTGCAAAGGTGTGTATATGGGTAAATGTATGTGTTTCAAACCTCCACCAGAATCCTTAACATCAGAGAAATTTCTTTCAAAATAAGGAATAAAACAAGGACTCCCCAAATCACCCAGCACTTAATATTGTTTTTAAAATTCTTGCTATAACAATTAGTAAATATATCAAAATATTAGATCTAAGTAAGGGAAAATAGAAAGAATTTATAATTATTTTTAAATGCTATGACTATAAAAACATTAAAAACTCCAAAAAACGCAACTAAAATAATCATTAGGAACAACAAAATAGTGAGGTGTATCACTTTGAAATTAACATATTAAATACTGATCTGATACATTTCTATTTTTATTTCTTTACTCATTCAGCATATAATTTAATGAATGTGTGCCATATATCAGGTACTGTTCTAGGCACCAAGATAGTGCAGTGATAAAACAAGCAAACCATGCCTTCAACCAATTTACATTCTGATCTTCAGGGTAGACAATAAACAGATAAACTAGTAAATGCATAAGATATTAGATGTTTGCTAATGCTAATGTATAAAATAAATTCAGGGTAAAACAGAATAGGGGACAAAAATTTGAGTGGAGATGCCATTTTAAATAAACTGGTTAGTGAAAGTTAAGTAGATAAGTTGACATTTGAGTTTATATCTAAAAGAAGTGACAGAATAGGCCACACAGCAATGCCAGAGAAGAGGGTTTCTGGCAAAGGTAACAGCCGAGTGTACAACTTGAAGTGGGATCATGCTTGGTATGTTAGAAAAGCAGAAAAGAGAAGAGTGTGGTTGGAGCAAAGTAAATAAAAAAGAGAAAAGAACCAGAGAAGTGCTAGAAAGACACATCATGTAACCCTATAGTCCAGTATAAGAAATGTGGACTTTAATTTAAATGAGATGAAAGTCTAGTGAGAGTTCTGGCTATATGCAAAAC